TCTAAAATATTATTTCACTCACCTAATACTCATTTATGTTTTAAGCAAAAGAAATAGTAAATTTTGTGGGAAAAATAGAGAAAATAATGTTAGATTTCATGGATTTATTCTTTGGAGCTAACGAAGAAACAACAATGTTGGATTTTGTTAGCCATGTGGATCCATATTAAATTTTGTACTTTTTTATTTTAATAAATTCATTAGATTTAACCAAAATGAACACTTTTTATTATTGTAGGAAATGTAGGAGACGTTTGTGGAAATTTTCTGATGCTTTATTGATCATCATCTTCAATCTTTATATACAAGTATTTTGTGCAGGAAAATAAGAAAAAGGAAAATACAGAAAAATCACAATTGTACACTTGTCTAAATCTTGTAGAAATATTCTAACAACCTATTATTTCCTCCTATGTTGATATAGTGTGCTGCTCACGTGCTCTTCTTCATTTCTTTCTTTCTGCAGCTAATAGACGAGTGAAAATTATGTTTGCCAACATCCCCCCTCAAGTTGGAGGGAAGAGAAGAAACCCCCAACTTGGATAAAATGCCATGATGGGAAGCGCCAAAAAGAGGCTTTGTGAAAATATCTACGAGCTGGAGCTTGGAAGGAACAAACTGAATAGAGATTAACCCAGATGCATTTTGTTGTCGAACAAAGTGACAGGAAAGTTCCACATGTTTTGTCCTCTCATGGAAAACAGGGTTGTGTGCGATATGAATCGCAGCTTAACTATCGGAGTTAGTAGGAACAGGTAATGATAGTGGGACTGAAAGATCCTCCAGTAAACGGATGAGCCAAGTTATCTCGGCAGTGACTTTTCTCATAGACCTGTATTCTGCCTCTGCTGAAGAAAGGGAAATAGAAGCTGATTCTTTGATTTCCATAAGATGGGGGAACCACCAAGGGTAATGAAGAATCCACTAATCGACCAGCGAGAATCCTTACAAGAAGCCCAGTCGACATCGCAAAAAGCATTTTGAGATAGGAAAGGAGCAGACGATAAGAGAATCCCTTGCCCTGGATCCAAAGCTAGAAATTTCAATACACGAAAAGCAGCAGAGTAATGAGAGTGGCATGGCCGCTGCATAAATTGACTGAGTTTCAACACTGGGAAAGCAAGGTCTGGACGAGTATATGTCAGATAATTCAATTTCCCCACTAAATGCCTATAAGTGGTAGGAAATATTTGTAACCATTATGAGTAGCATGTTTATAAGGACCCCAAGTATCAATGTGAATTAAGTAAAAAATTCCTTTAGTTTTGATTGAACTAGTTAGAAAAGATGATCTAGTTTGTTTAGCTTGAGGACAAACATGACAAATAAGAGTAGAATCAGAAGAATGTTTGATAAAATTAAATAATTTCATTGCTGATAGGGGCAAATGCCCAAGTCTCATATGCCAAAGGCTTACATTTGAAAGAGCATCACAAAGAACAGGACAAGAAACAGGAATAAAACTGGAATTGCTTCCTTTTGAAATAGAGACAGATTGCTTGACAGAATTTAAACTAGGCCTAAAATTAGTTGGTTGCAGAACATATAATCCTTCTCTAAGTTCACCAAAAGCTACCACTCTCTTCATTAGAAGGTCCTGCAAGAGACATGCACTAGAAGTAAACAACACATTCCAGTTGATTTGATCACACAACCTATGTATAGAAAGAAGATTGTATTTTAAAATATGAACATAAAGGACGTTGGTTAGAGTAAGGTTAGGCAGAATAGAAACACTACCTATATGGGTGACAGTTACCTTGAAAGAATTAGGTAAACTAATGTTAATGGGAACATGAAGAGGTTTCATAAAGAAAAAGGAAGAAGTTTCAAAGCACATGTGTTCTGATGCTCCTGAGTCAATAATCCAAGTTGCAAAATTAAAAACTGAAAAACATGTGCCTGAGTATTTAAGGATGGTACAACCTACACCATTGGCATTTATCTCTGTTTAAGGCATTGATTGAGACATCTGCATTTCCTTTACCATTTGAGTGATTTCTGCCATTTGTTCCTTAGTAAAGTGCTGAAAGTTGGTTGTCCCTCCTTTCTTAGAAGACTGACAAAAGTTGTCCTCTCTTGCAAAAGCTGCAGTCCCTTTGATCATAGAGTTTTTTCCTTTAGTGAACTCGAAATCCTCAGGGTACCCATGCAGTCTACGACAATCATCCATGACATGTCCAGTTCTGAAGCAATATGTGCAGGTAACATTTAGGTTGTACTTGCTTTTCTTTAATTCCTTTTGTTCTTTGTGTATTAATGCCAGATCTTTAAGAAGGAAAATCAGGTCTCTGAGGGTAGACACCAGGCTTCTGACCACCATATCCATTCATGAAATTCTGATTACCATTTCCATTTCTAAGATTTAGAGAACCAGAACTGTGATTATGATTTCCATGATTTACTGCCATGAAGGAAGATGAGTCTAGAGCGGTTTGAGTATGCTGATAGATTTCCCTCTGATTTTCATCCTGCAATAACAGAGAATATGCAAGATCCATCCCTAGAAGTGGATTCATCATTAGAATGGTACCTCTAGCTTGACCATATGTGTCATTTAGACCCATTAGGAACTGAATAAGTCTTTGATCCTGTAAAGACTTAGAGATTTTGGATTTTCCACTGCAAACGCAGACACAAGAACAAGTAATATCTGCATTTAAAGAGTCCAACTCATCCCATAAACGTTTCAATTTAGTGAAATAACCTGATATATCATAATTACCTTGCACTAATCCATTAAGTTCCTTTTGAAGGTGAAAAAGCTTGGTACCATTAGACTTACCAAACCTTTATTCGAGGCTATCTCAAAGCTCCTTAGCAGTGTTGGAATAGATGACACTATCTCCAATCTCTTTGGACAATGAGTTGAGTAACCAAGAGGTTACTATGTCATTATAACAATTCCATTGAGAAGAATGAAACATCGGAAGCTGGTACTTGACAGGTGCCATTGATGAAGCCTAGCTTCCTCTTAGCTGAAAGAGCTATCAAGATCGATCTCCTCTAACCGGGAAAACCTCGTCCATCAAACACAGTGCTTATGAGGTTCATTCTAGGAGAATCAGAGGGGTGAAGATAATAGAGGTGACTGGAGTCCTTAACATATGCTACAAGTGCAACAATGGTTCTAGAATTGTTGGAGAGTGATGAAGAATCTCCCATTGTAGATGATGAGTGAATGAGAATTGGATCGAGCTTACTGCTCTGATACTATGTAGGAAATGTAGGAGACGTTTGTGGAAATTTTCTGATGCTTTATTTATCATCATCTTCAATCTTTATATACAAGTATTCTGTGCAGGAAAATACAGAAAAATCACAGATGTACACTTGTCTAAATCTTGTAGAAATACTCTAACAACCTAACTAATTTTATTCCCTCCTATGTTGATATAGTGTGCTGCTCACGTGCTCTTCTTCATTTCTTTCTTTCTGCAGCTAATAGATGAGTGGAAATTAAGTTTGCCAACAATTATACATTAAGGATTATGTGAATCAAGTGAAATATATCAAGTACCAAAATAAACATTTATTATACATTAATGATCATTTCAATCAAATGAAATATATTAGCTATCAAAATAAAATACTACTCGTACGTAAGGACCATTTGATTATTTTCTCAGAATATAACACATTCTTCTCTTGTAGAAAAAAACTCAAACATTACATGTAACTCCATTTTTTTTCTAATATTTAAATGTTTTAGATTTTTCTATGTATAATTTTTTAGAAAAATTATCTCATTTTAGATTTGGAGATTCATTATTAATTTACTATTAATAGTAGTATTTTTTTAATAGAGAATATGGTTATTATATAAGAATTAATTAAAATATCAGCCATCAGAGGCGAAGCTAGGTGGAGATTCGTGGGTTCGAACGAACTCAGTAACTTTTCTATAGATCCTATATTTGGAATAGAAAATTAAATAAATATATATGTATACTAACTTGTGAACTCCTAAAAAAATTGATTGATGGCTCAGTGATAAAGAAGGGGTCGTGAAAATATTTATCACTCTAGAGTTGTGGATTCAAAAATTTAGAACTCCCGAACTCCTAATCCTGGCCGCCTCTATCAGCCATAACTCTGCACACTAACTCATTCAAATAAAATACTATAGCTTACTACACGAAAGTTCAAAGAGATGAAATTTACATACATGCATCAAATGCTATATAAAAGTATATATTAAAAAGTTTATTTTTCTTAAACAAGTAAAAGATAATCTAAAACTAACCTGCAAAGGACGGACCCATCAATGTCTTAAGTTATAAAAATAATATTTTTTTTCCCCACTAATTATAAAAAAAAGATGAAGTTTATAAAATATCTAAAACCACAATAGAGACGTTTTTGGGGGGAGAATATTAAGGACATATTTTTTTTCCTCCTTTTTACTCTTTTATACGATTTTTTCAGATTTTAAAGTTGACAAATTGGGTTTCAAACAGCAACTTGTCTAATTTTAATAGCAATGACATGTTTAATCCATGTTTCCCAAAAGAATTTGCTAAATTTATTTAGTGAATATGTTTGCATTTGATTGTAAAATTTTGATTGGATATAAAATGGAGTAATACAAATGAGCAAGCATAATTTGTTGCATCTCCTCCTTATCCAACGTTGGCTGGTTCTTGATTTTGCTTTTATGGACAAATTCCACTAGGTGTAGTATTATCAAAAAGTTATATATACATCGCAATCGCAATTTATGGACAAATTCCACTGGGGAATCAAACTCTCACCAACAAAGTGAAGGTTCGTACCAAACCAATTGAGCAACTAAAATTCCCCTATCAGTTGTATTTCTGTAACCCTATCCGAAACAAAAATTTCCCTAAGGGTAGATTACCTGCGCATACATGAAGAGTACCTGCTACAATAGTTTCTATTCAGGAAAGATCATCAACACCTGCTACACTTCTTTGCCCTTCAACAAGTATACATGCCCAATCGATTATACATGAAATTTGCAATAAGAACACAGCAAATACACATTTCTCCTTGTATTAAAAGTGAGTTCACATTAGTCTCATTAAGGATAGAGAGGCAGCTCTAGTCAAGCGTCAAAGATCATTTAAATTGCTAAACAAAATTGCCCGAACAATCAAGTATAATGCATGAAGAAAAACTGAGCTGCAATAGAAAATTGTTTTGTACCTTCCCGCGTAAATCTTTTTATCCTTTTCCTCTCGATGTTCCTTTTTTTCAATTTAGACAAATAATGAGGTAACATGGTTCAAATCCATTCTATGAACTCAACGGTACATCGCTAATGTACACAAATGTAACAATTTGATGTCTCCTAGTTAGAACTACCTCAAAAAATGTTGCTGGTATCTAATACAGGCAGCTGAGTATCTCTCCTCTGCAGGACCCAAAAGTGGGAACAGAACCTGCCTCTTGGCATATAGTAATATGTAGATCTTTATCATCAAGAATCCTTGTATCAAAACAGGCAACTGTTGGACTAGAAACAACCCCAAAATTTGTGATAACAGATTTACAGAACATGCCTACATGTGAATCTTTATCTGCCCATTGGTTCTAGCTGAACTTCCATGCAGTCAGACGAACCTGAGTCTTTCTCTGCCATTGCCTGGCTTGGACTGAGGAGGTCAGTGTCCTCCTCACCACTACCCAGAACCCAATTGCTTCTGCCGGATATTCTATCTCGCCTTTTCTTCCTCTCACGACACTCCAGATATATCACTGTCAAAACGCCAACAAGAATCCACAGAATTAAAGCCCACATCAGCCTATGAACATCTTCGTCACCATACCTCTCTCCTAAATGCTTCATTCCAGTTATAAGAGCTGCAATCCCAACAACAATGGCACCCCTGCCCACAATGACATGGATATACTCCCAAACACGCCGTTTTGAAGAAACCTCCTCCCCTGCTCCAGGTTTCTTAGGTCGTAGGTATGCATTGATAGGTTGTGCAATAGCAAGAACTATGGCCAGCATTCCAAACTTAACATGAAGGGAGCTGAAACTCAAACCGCGAAGTTCGGCTACAGCAAAGAGAAAGCCAAGGAAGACAATCGATAATCCAGAATACTGTAGATAAACATGAATCTGAAACCACCCATCTCCCTTGATATGTTTCAAATATCTAGCAGCTAAAATACCACCTGGCAGCAATATTCCCCAAGCCAGAAACATCATAAACCCATGTACAGCTAACACTGGCCGTAAATCCTCCTCTGCCTCTGCTGAACCACGCATGAGCAGCACTCTGATAGGCCTGCTGCTTGTGACGGAGTGCATATTTCTCACACTCAGATGGTCATCTGACCATTGAGCACCCATGGCCCAGATGACTTTGAGTGGTGTCGTGGGATCAACAATATTATTGCACTCCGGCTTATCATCCAGATCGCAAGAGGGACGTAGTGGACGGGTGAATTCCATAGTAATAATACCATTCTCTGACTTGCATCTTGCGTGTGTCAGATTCTCATTAGTTGGGTGAATATTGGAAGCATCTCTTCCATCAATCCAGTATGTGCTTACTTTCCCATTACCAGTGTCATCAACCCAGCCCACGTATGCATAACTATTCAACATACCACGACCAAAACCAATTGCCAAATAACCACTCTTTTTCTCCCCTCGAGCTGCAATGGAGATTGAATTTTCAGCCAACGTCCAAAAGAAAGTAACCTGCTGATCATCCAGAACTACGCTGCTGTTATACATATCAGGTAAGCCTGCATCAACCACTTGAACTTTCCACCCCATTTTCTGAGCATATAGAGACTGATAGTAAACTAAATCTGGCGTGTTACGATCAGGAGCCCAAACTAATTCTGTGGGAGTGGCTTGAACTCCTTGTGCTTCAGGGCCCCCAAAGTAGATAGTCTCTGACATATTCCTCAATGTAGCATTTCCACCAAGTGGATCTGAGGTTATATAGAAGGCAACATCATGCCCCGCCTGAATTGAAAACTTTACTTGAACACCCCTCTCAACCCTGAGAAGGGGTGCCTCTTTCTTGTTGATGTAAAGAACTTTTGAAGGGTTTGGAGGATTTGGGTAAAACACAGCTGGACCTGTTGAAACAACAAGTGGTCCTTTTTTATCTGCAATGACAAGGTCTTGATCTTGTTTATCTTCTGCATCCAGCGGCCCCAAGCAATCATCAATATGTTCCGAGACATTCAGTGTCAAGTGCCCATAACTACCACCATGATTTTGTGGAAGATAAAAAGGTCGGAGACTATCCGGAGGTTTTATCAAACCTAAAGCCCATATCACTCTCATTGTAGCATTTTGATTCAATTGCAAATCATACTTTGTATCCATGGACTTCAATGGCTTCCTAAACCTAATAAAGGACACACCATCCTTCCTTTGCCCATAAACCAACCTCGTATTATTCACTAATCCAACCGGATCAGATCCTTCATATATAGTATCAGGACAAACACCCTCAACTCTCCCATCCTTGCTAATCATACACTCACTATACTTGGTAATGAAATAATCATCAGCAAATGGAGATAAATCTTCCTTAAACCCCGTGACGGTAACATCACCACCCATCATAAAACTACTCGAAGCATTCGGATTTGCCCATCCAAATGCCATGTAACTCAAAAAACCTATAGCCGCCTCTAATCCAATCTCAATCACATCGTGTTCCTCATTCAAACTCCACCTAACCCTATAATTATCTGCTAATACCTTACAATTATTGAACATTGTAGGCATCCCATTTCCCTTAATTACAGTCCCATTAACCAAACTAGGCAGAGGGGCTAAAAACTCAGTCCCATTCGTCAAATTCCTCAAAACAACGTGCCCAAAATCCGAAGCCGTGGGAAGATCCCAAACAGCTAAAACATTTATATCATCCCACGTCACATTGTTCATCAATTTCACAACAAATCCATCACTTTTATAAGTTTTATTCAGCTTCTGCTCGGAAACTACAAAACCCTTTGTGAGGTTTTCCAAATGGTCCCCAACCGCACCCCACCAACGCACATCAGACCCTTCCAGCATATCAAATTGACTAACCTTAAACGAACAATCATCGATTACATTAAGCACACCTCGTAATTGATGCTGTGCCATGGAAAATTGGTATGTGAAGTTCACAAGAGATGCACTCCGGGTTTGAGGACAATCCGAACCCGGATCAGAAACGGAAAATCGAATCAAATGAGAAAAACTTCCGATTATAACAAGTAGTAATAGACGGCATAGTTTAAACACCTCCATACCATATAGATCCTCAAATTTCTGTATAAATCACAAGAAAAAGAGAGTGATTTACCTCAATTGATTACTCTTTCGGCTTCATATACAAGAGCAGCGTATTGAATGAAGAAAATTTTGAGATCGGCGATTGAGGTGAGAAGTAGTAACGAGGAAGGAAACAATAAAGTTAGGAAAATGCCGAATCGCCAAACTTAGGAAGATTTCGTTAGTTGGAGTTGACGCAAAGGAACTTTTTTGAGTGGGATGGGGGTGGGGGCTCGGAGCTAATTAAATTAATAGTATATTAGTATTAGTACTATATTATAAGTCACAATAACTATCCTCTAACTAAGCCAAACTCAACAAACGTTCCTCCCTAAAGAGATTTAACTATGGGGATTAAATAAGTCACAACTCACAATAGCTATCCACTAACTAATTGAAATTCAACTAACGTTCCTTCCTAAAGAGTTTTAATTATGATGTGTCAAAATCGAACAGATTGATAAATCAAATCAAAAAAATGTTATTGGATTATTGCATAAAGGAATTTTAAGTAATTTTATAAAAATAATTATCAGGTTATCAATTTAATTTTGAATTTTTTTAATATTGGTTATTGGATAAATCGATTATCCATTAAGATTTATATGCATTTTGTTATTGGCTAAATCGAAAATCAAAACATTAAGGATCAAATTGATAAAGGAAAAATCGATCAAAACATCATATTGATAAAATCGAACGGATTGATGCACACACCCAATTTTGACTCATACAAGTTTAGCATATATCATTTCTTATTAATATAATTTCATAAATCGAACTCGACCCAGTGAGTATTATTATATGATCTAGTATTGAGCACCGATTCGGGTGAGAGTTAAGACAACTCAAACCCCATAAACTATGCCGCCAGGGTAGATAGGATCATACCGAAATTTGAGTGACATCTCACTAGCGCTAGCCTCAAGAAGGCTTTTAGTGGATTCATAAGTTAAGTTACGTCTTATACCCCGACAAGGTATAGGGCGGTTCTGGCAACATAGGAAAGACTGTCACGATACGAGCCTACACCTTAGACGTGGTCGACATTCGAGAACCATTGTTGGTCCCCAAGTGAATCTTCATCTTGACTGACTACAAGCGGAAGACTAACTCAAGCATCAATTTGAAAGAAACGTTTAACAACAGTTTACTGAATCTCAAACTCTCTAAATATATTAGTATGAAACATAAGTTTTAAATAAAACATTTGAAATGGAAAGACTCTCCAAAAATATCCATCTATGAAGCCTCTACGGTATAAAGACGAGTGTCAAGACAAGGCCCATGACACCTACTAACAACTCATAAAAACTAGAGTCCTCTAGAAGCAAGGAGGCCTTACTCAAAAGCTAACGAGCAGATGTAGTGATCTCAATGAAACTCATGTTCAAGATCCTAAGTACCTAAATCTGTATCACAAAAATATGTAGGTCGAATGACATCAATACATTGAATGTATCATATAGCTGAATAACAAATAACAAAACTGAACGTCTAGAGGTAACTCAACTGAAATATAGTATAAATCATGATGAAAAATCATTTAAGTTCTTACTGTAATGATACAATAATAGCAAATACTAAACTGAAATATATATATAAAATATATATATAATTTACTTTGTTTTATTGGGGAGTTGCTCTAACTAACAACCATCACTATGAGCCTCGTGATAATACATTGTCTCGCACATGCTGCCAGAACTATCCTATACCTTTTCGGGGTATAGAATAAACTCAACTCATAGATCCACTATAAAGGTCTGCTCAAAGGCAGTGAGGAGTCCCCCGAAAGTCAGTGGGATTCTAACCCACACTGACTACGTGATTTATGGAGGACGTGAGTTGTCCGAACTCTTTTATATATATATATATATAAAACTCAAAGCTCAAGTAAAAATAGGACCTCTTTAAGAGGTATGTTTTGTACTCAATTTTTTTGAAAACTCTTTATATCTTTCTGAAAATAGTACTCACTTTTCAATGAAAAAAATGATATGTTTTGGAATCATTTAGTTCCCTTAAACTCTTTTCAAAAAAGAAATTTGTACTTTAACTTGCTTTGGAACTCACTTTTCGCTTTTATAAATCAATAAATGGAAAAATGCTTGTTTAAAAGACTTTCAATCAAAACTAGGTAATTATGGTTCATGTGGGAATATAAGCATGAACAACAACTCAAAAATTTCAATGCATAATATAGTTCAACTCATAATCAAGATTTTAGAACTCATAATCAATAACTTAACTCATATCAAGAATTTAGAACTCAAAATTATAAGTTAACTAATATCAAGAATTTAGAACTCAAAATTATAAGCTAACTAATATCAAGAATTTAGAACTCACACTCAATTAATTTAACACATATCAAGAATTTAGAACTCACACTCAATTAACTTAACTCCTATCAAGAATTCTCGAAACTAGGGAAATAATCCTAGATTAAGTTTCTACCGATTGAATTGAGATGTATGGCGTGATGACGAAATCAATCCATCACTGAGAATAACCTTACACATCCAGAAGAACAAAGTTCTTGAAGAAGTTTGAAGAAAAACCTGATTAGAAGCCTTGAAATCCTAGTTTTTATCTTCTTTGCGATTTTCTTTGGGTTGGGGAGTTGAGAGGGTAAAGTAAAAGAAAATTGGGTACTTGGTGGAATATATTCCTCTAATTGAAGTTAAAACATCATGGTTTGGGCTTAGGAAATGTGGGAAGATACAAAAGAAACCCTACTTAAAAAGCTATTAAAAATCTTCCACGGGGTCATTTACAGTTCGTGGTTTGATCTACGGACCATAGATTCCATCTGTGAAATTCCTATTGAAGTTTTAAGGCTAAAAAGTTCATTTTACGGATCCAACTATAGCCAACAGAGGTTTCTACGACTCGTAGATGGGTCCATAGGAATTGGACCCCAAATTTGACTGCCAATACTTTTCCACAAGTCAACAGTACATGTGGTAGCTTTATCTACAACTCGTAAAAGGGATTCGTAGGTCACTGACTCAGAAAACTCTACTATGGTAGTCTCTGGTAAAACAATCATAACTTTTTACTCTAGACTCGAAATGAGGCAAACTTTTGGTGTTGGAATGATAACTCATTGACATTTAGCTTGATAGTTCACGTGCCACCTAATTTATTATGTTCTGAGAGATATGATCTTTTGAAGTTGACCTAAGTAGAATCTTATATCAAAACTTAATCAGGGAACTTTCAACTCAACTTTGTGCTAGGGGACTCTTGTGACCTTAATTCATATCCAAATTCATTCTCGCCTAAAGAATTGACCTTAACACCTAAGAACAATATAAGAATCACCCGATACAAACTTTTTCGCAAATGAAGAATGATTCAAATCTTAGCTTATAAATTTTTGGGGTGTTACAAATATGTTAAATCATCACAAGATTTATAATTATGGTAGTCGATTAGAGAAACTCCTCCAAGAAAGTAAAGTATTTTATTTTAGTATTTACTACCATTGCATACCTATTTTTAAAGTTTTTAATGAATTCATTTCATATTTATGCTTTACTTCAAATGAGTTATTTTCAGTTTAGATATTTGTTTCTTCGGCTTTATTACGTACAATACATTTCATGTATTGACATTATTCGACTCTGCATCATTTTATGATGCAAATTCAGATATTCAGGATCATCAACAAGCTCTTCGTTGAGATCATATCATCTTTTCATCGGCTTTTGGTAAGGCCTCCGTTTTATTTCTTTAGTAGTAGTGTTTTATGGTTGTCGTGGTATAGGTTACACTATTCATTATCTAGCCATCGTTTCAATCATCTCACTTCCAATTGTCAAACTACTCCAGATATTGCCTATACCACACAAGTACTAGTCCCACCACTGGATGACTAGCCTAAAAAAAAAATATAAGACGCTCATGAAGTCCCTTAAACCATTATCCAACCTTATCATTCAAATATCCTCACAATGCATCATCAAGCCGTCACCTTACTCAACCCTTTCAAATTGTTGAAAATTCTTAACCTAACCATGCATCATTCTCATTAGTTTATCACTTTCACTTTAGTACTAGGTCTAACATCCAATCCATACACGACACCAACTGCTGACGTGAGGAACTACGCACGAGTCGTCACATAAGTGAGAGGGAATAGAATGAAGCGATAAAAATAAAAACAGACAAAGTTTGTGCGTTGCAAACTAGACTCGTAGGCCTTCAATTTAATGGGTGATAGGCCTTCTAACTCTTTGTATATTGGGAGAAAACATCCAAGACATTTGACCCAAAGTTAAGAAAATATTATTAGAGAAACTTCGATAACTTTTGCCGACTTTAGTTTCACTAATTTTCTTGACTTCCAAACTTAACATACAACCCTTGTGTTATTATTGTCACGACCCAAAAATGGACGTGATGGCACTCGTCTTAACCCAACAAGACAAGTCAGCCTAAAACTCAATCATTACAATAAAATGCAGAAAATTTTATAATAAACTCAAAAATACCCCAAAAATCTGGTTGTCACGTGTACAAGCCTCTAAAGTATTACAATTGATTCAAAAGAAAACACAAGTCTCAAATGACCTTGTTTCTAGAATGGAACAAGATCATAATTAAGAAGAAAGAAAGTTCGCTGAAATGACAAACAACTACCTCACAAACCTCCACAAGAAGCCTCGGACAAGGAGAAGAGAAAATATCACAAAGGTCCGGGCTAGTAACCTACAAAAAAATGTAGTAGCAAGGGGTGAGTACCAAACCACACGGTACTCAGCAAGTAAACCTCTAAACACGAGCTAAGGGGATAGAATACGAGTACTCCTTACACCCAACCGAACCTTCACAACTACAACCTGCTTAAAACCAACCCAACATAACAGTTCACAGTTTACAAAGCACATAGCTCAATACAACACTCTAACAATTTCATATCATCATCAACAACAACAGTTTCATATCCTCAACAACAAGCTCAATATTCATCAGTCACAAGTTCCATAGAAAGGCACTCACAAGATCAGCAACACACAAGATCAAGTTCACCAATAATAAAGAAGTGCAATGCAATGAAATGCAATGTCAAGTATAGTGATGCATCTGTGACCTAATGATACACACCCGCTGTCTCTCAGTCCGGGACCCATGGGGGACATATCTGTCCATGCATCCATCACGGCGCGCGATACGACCCTCGATAATAGAAACCATCGCGGCGCGCGATACGTCCCTCGAA